TTATATTAGATGTATTTCACTTAATTTGAGTAGGTAAATGGGGGAGTGTGCCAATGGAATGAGTATTTTTACTAATCGAAATAAGATAATTAGGTAATATGCACTTGAAATAAGACAATGAAATTGAGTTTTCTTATTTTAAGTGTAATTGTCTTGTTCCATTGGCAAAATTTCTCGGTTACCTCCTCAATCCAAGAACAAATGCACTTATTTTAAGAAATAATTACTTATCTGTAGTTTAATTTTTTCCAGTGTGGACACCTGGAACCAAACGCCTTTCGTAGATATCCATGAGTATGCTTGTGTATAAAAGGTTTACAAGGCTTCTTCACAGGGGGAATATGCTCACTAGCAGGCGTGAGTGGCCCCAGAGTCGCCCTGCAGAGAGAAGAGTCCAACGTATCTGCACTCTGTTCTTGCACAACAGATGTTGGTGTTTTTTGTTCCTGCTCCATCAGGGAAACACTTGGAAGTATTTTTCCATGTCTGCTTACTGAATAGGTAGTTCAATTTCTGAAACGTATCGGCATTCCTAAAAGGTTTTGTTCTTCTAATGGTTCATCCATCATCCGCTTATGTGGTTTTATACACATTTCTATCTTCAAACATGGTTTATGTTAAGTGTCGGCGAACATATTCACTCTAATCAGCCTTATTCTGTTTGGTTCCTCGATCACAGGAAACCTGTTCAGCTTCAGGAAGTGGTACAAACTGGTTCAGGCCGCTTTGGTCCAGGCTCAGCAGAGGAGGAGCCAGGACATCGCCAGGTGAGACCTGCAAGTCTGGGTTCAGGGTTTCTTCTGCTTCTCTGGAGGCTGCAGGCAGCAGAAGGGTTCATATGATTCTAATTTCTTCAACAACCTTTTTAACGCCGATTATTTCTTTACAGGAAACAGTGGAAAGGAAAGAAACTGTTCTACATAAACAAGAAGGACAGATTTTATGTCACAAAGAGGAGAAGTAAGAACCTTTTGGTTTTCTGTTTGGTCTTGTTCATAAGGAAAAAGAAATTAGAAAAGAAGTTCAACCTCAGCCGACTGATATACAGTTTAATTTGCTTAAGTTTTACTTTGAGGTTGAGACGACGTCTGCTTAACTTTCCCCATCATGCGGCGTTTGGTTGTTTTTTCTGTTTAAGAAAAAAGAAAATCTGAGGAACATTAAAGTCATATTTAAATGTCAAATCATTCTGGCTTAAACATGTATATAAATGTACTCAGATAATATTGTCCCAAAAGTTAGAAAATTTCTATAAAAAAAAAAAGAAAATCCTGCCTTAAAATGTGTTTTTCTTAGTTCTACGTCAGCCTGAACCAATCATATATCAACGATCGTCTGTCAATCAATTTTTTTCTGTTATAGCATCTTGATTCATATGTCGCAGCTAATATACGCAACGGTTGAAATCAGAATCCTTTCCTTTCCTATTGAGTTGC